TGACCCCAGAGTTGAAGGGACTTGGCCATTGCAAATAAGTAGCACCAAATCATGATGGGTGAAAGGAGAGAGCCAGCCCCCTTCCTCTCCTCCTTCTTTCTGACTTCCTGCTAGGATAGAAGTATCTAGGAAGAGACCTAGGATGCTGGGTCCATGGACTAGCCTGGAAGGCAGGAACAGTGGGAGATGAAGATTCAGGGAATGGGGACAGCAAACAGAGACCACTCGGACAGTGTAATCACCTGAGAATGTTATGGGAAGGATGACAGAAGGAAAGTCTCAGGAAGGCTATCAAGCACTAATCACAGGCATGCCCTACAATGTGTGACAAGGAAGTCTTGTTGTCCAAACTGGCAACCATAATGATCACTGAATATCATTAGCCATAGCACTTAGCAGGTCAAGTTTATTTATATGGTAAACTGGGACAATTTGAAAAATGGCTGTAAAGAGAAACATCTCTATGTATATGTCTGGGCCTCAACAAAAGCATTCCCCCCTCTGTGTGTACAAGTGGGTGTATATGTGCCTGTGAGTATGTGTCTGTGTCTGTGTGTGAATCTGCATGTCTTAGTGTGTTCCTGTGTGTCTGCTTCTATGTATGCATGTGTGAGTACATGTGAATGTATGTGCATGTGCGTGTGTGTCTGTGTGGTCTGTAAAGCCCTACACAGGCCAGGATCAGCAGGCATTCAGAGGGAATTTACTGCTATTTTTGTTATCCTATGTGTCATTGTACTCATCTTGCTTCAGTTGAGAATATTATGAGAAAAATCTGCTTCTGTGTGGGTTTCCCTTCATGGTGCCCACATGATGAAATCTCTAGAAAATTCTGATCTGATAGAGAGAGTCAGCTTACGCTTCAGCACAGGAATCCAGCAGACACATGGTAACATGACTGTCTGAACAAAAGTGTAAGGCAAAAAGTTCTCCCACAAGCATCACACCAACAATTCCACAGAATGTTCTAGAAATTAGCACCCATGTTTTAAGAAAAGGAAATTGAGTCTAGAAGACACACAATTCAGATTTTCTGACTCTACAGTGTTTCACGGTCTAACTCCTTTCTCTTTCATTAGTTATGGCTTTTTATGTAGCCTTAAGTTTCATGTCATGATAACTTTTTGAGTCCTCAGAGTTAATTCAGATATTAGGTCTAGTCAAGTGCCTTCATGAGCTCACATCACAAGTAGCTTCCCTGGCTTGTTTTATCTTGTGAAAAGCTGCTTGAGATCTTGGCCTGAGATTGTATTTCTTTGCCTTATCAAAAGAGACACAGTCTAAGGGCAGCCAAGTCCCTGTCATAGAGTTATTCTGATGTCCCTTGACCCCTAAGACCTGCCTTCTAAGCCTGGGGACCAACACTCACAGAGGTCTGTTCCTTCTGTCACTTCATAACACTAGAGATCTGCCAATCTGGAACCCTCCCACTTTATCTCCTCCTGGGTAAAGTGCCCTTCCTGGGTATTAACCCTCAGAAGGAAGGGGCAGCCTCTCTTCTCCCCTGTTGCTCTTCAGGGAACACTTGAGACCTGAGGGGAGAGACAACAGGTAAGAAAATAGAGGATTGCCAAGCTTCTGAGACCATGAAATCATGTTGTATTTCATGGTTGCCAATCCACACACATCAGTGTAGGAAGTTACACTGAAAAGAATGGTAGAAATGGAGATCTTTGCCATGGATGACCCTGGATGACTTCCTAGGGTCTAGCCTCATCACCAGAAAGGACAGAAAGGGAAGATGGAGAGTAGACATGGAATATTTTATTTAAGAACAATCTGTTAGGGCTGGGGGCATAGCTCAGGATAGAGTGCTTGCCTGGTATTCATGAGGCCTTGGTTTTGATTCCCAGTACTACAAAAAAATATAAATAAAAAGAATCTATTAAGCTTGGTGTGGTGATGGATGCCTGTAATCGTAGCATTGGGAACTAAGGCAGGGAGATTACCATAAGTTTGGGGTCAGCCTGGGCTATGTAGCAAGATCCTGTCTCAAAACAACAATGACAAATTACAACTCAAAATCTTCCTCCTCCACCTCTTCCTCATCATCATCATCTTTTAAATACAGGCCCTTTGACAAGTATTGGGTGAGGCCGGCAGCTACAGGAGATCGGATGTGGCAAAACCATTCAGCTAACTGCTCAGGGAGGAAGTGGGCGTGGTGGTTTTGAGTAGAGTTTTTAAGCCACGCAGACCTGTTCCAGACTCAGACTTCTGCTATTCACCCTCTGCATAGCTCAGGCTTATCCCATTAACACACTCATATATACTTATATACCAAGGATCACGATAATGACATACAAAAACTTAGCACAGTGCCCAGATAACTGAAGCACTCGACACACTTCAACCATCAGGATGTTTTTGGTTTTCGTGTCACTCGGACTCGTATCAGGCAGGATGATTCCATTGCCCCATTCGGCTCAGATGAATAAGTAAGACAGAACAGCATTGCTATGGTGGAATGTGTGTGCCCCTTCCCTTCAAACCGGTCCTCTGAAGCCAGATGGGTGTGATGGCATTAAGAGATAATGTGGTCAGAAAGGTAAAGACTTCACACATGGGATTCGAGCTCTTAGGAGAATACATCTCCCTCCCTCCGTGTGGGGACATGGCAAGAAGACATCAGCCAGAAGAGGAAGAGGTCCCTCCATAAAGCCTGACTTTGCTGACACCTGGCCCCAGACTTCCTGGCCTGCAGAATTCTGCTTAGGCCACACCATGTTCTACTGTAGAGAGTAAACAAGAACAAATAAGTCAACCATTTAAAACCACTTTTTCATGCAAACATGAGTATATTTAATTTTGCCACTTGGAACAATAAAGATGAAGACTACAGAAAAAAAGCACCATAAATACTGAAGGGGAAGAATCATACGCCTTCACGTAGGCATGCAAAGCTAAACATACGGTCCTGTGAAGTGTGCCTTCCTCCATAAAATCCTGCTTTCAGCCCTTACCTCTTCCAGGCCTACTCAGGTCTGTTTCCTTCTCATAACTACTTAGAGGCCCAATCTCTGCCTTTCTCCCTCCAGCTGAATTTGACACAACTTCATTTGGCTATGGTTTCTTCCCTGTGCTAGGCCCTGGGGACACAGAGCTAGTTAGGAGGTAACACTGACTCAGGGACACAGAGCTTAGCAGGGAAGACAGCCCCTGGCTGGCTCAGTTCCCACCAGCTGCACGCTGAGAAGGCTCCACATGTGAACTCCTGCCCTCCAGTGTGAGGCTTCCTTCCTGGAAGGAGCTTTATAGCTCGCTCCAGTCAGCAGGCAGACCTCACTCTGTGTCCTTACTGCAGCAATGGCAACGCCATTAGCATCCTCTCTGGCCACCATTCCTGTTTCCCCACTAAATTCCCTCTTCGTCCCTAGATCCTTCCCACTTTTAGATGCTCTCCAACCCCTACCTCCCTTCAACAGAAAGAAAGAAAAATATTAGGGGACAGCCAATTTAGTGTGTGACAATTCGTTTCTTTGGTGTTTTTAAATATTGCAAAGATTAATCTTGAAACTGTGTTTGTTATTAAAGACCTTTTGTAAGCCAGGCTTGGTGGCTCACACCTATGATCGCAGCACTGGAAAGGCTGGGACAGGAGGATCACTGCAAGCTTGAAGCCATCCTGGGCTACAGTATGAGAACAAAACAAAAAAGTTCAATTCCTAACAACAACAACACACACACACACACACACACACACACACACACATCAAAAGAAAAATAAACACAAACACCTTTGTGTTGGAAAATAAGAAGAAAATCAGGACATGAGGTGCCGTGGTCAGTTCTTCAGCATTCCAACCTTTTTGGCCAGGGCCATGGACTGAAGACAAGAGCTCTCAAGTCAGGAGAAGCAGGGCACCCAGAAGCGAGGACAAGCCACAGAACCAAAGGACTGAGAGATTGGCTGAAAGCAAACCTACCAGACTTAGGATATAGGGCCAACTCATCTACCCAAGACCAAGATCCAGGTCCCAAGCTTTTGACTGGGTATGGAAGAGAGAGGCAGAGGAGAAGGGAGCATGGCGGACATTATATGGTATGTTTACCAGATTGTAACCACAAAGAACCAGTTAGAGAATCACCGTGATAAACTGATTTGCTTATGTCAGCACAATCCTCAGTGGAGTTGCTCCTTTGGGCTCCTCATCCTTCACGGTGACAACCACACAACCCCGTGACAGTTCTGGGCTCCAGTAAGGGTGACTCAAGCAGTTCCTAGCTATTAGACTGGCATGAGAAATGGTAATCTGGATGCAGAAAAGGTGACACAATTGCTTTCAGACAATAAGAAAGGAGGGTCATGTAGATGCACATGGCTTTGTTATCTGAGTAATTACTTAAGGCTTTCTCAGCCTCCAAATTGGGGCTTGTAATGTTTTTCACAAGTATCTATTCATGAAACAGTTAAAGCTATAAATCCCGTCTTTCCCCTTGTACACATAAACACATACACACATAGGTGCCTTTCTAATTATTTTAAATCAGTCCTAAAATTAATAAGTGATGGTGCAGTGTCATCCAGTTTAGAGTTCAAAGGAGAACAACTTTGTCAAATTAATTATTGTTCAGAACGTTTGCGGGGCCTCTTCTCCTGAGACCTGTAACCAGTCAGAAAGTGTACACAGGGAGACGCAGGCCAGGAGAAGGGCCCCTTGCATCTGTCCCAAGCCCTGCTGCTGTTACTTTGCACAGTGTGACTCTCTAGCAGAAAGACTTTTCCTTTCATCTCTGTCCTAGTGAATGAGAAAGAAATACTTGGTGTGTAACTAGAGTTCTTTGAGTGACAGGTAATATCACAAATAAGAAATGCTTTTTTGTATTTACAGAGAAAAACTAATAACCGTTCAAAATCATTTGGCAATGTTAAAATACCTTAAGGTCTGGAGTTGTATTTTATACACAACTCTGAATAATGGGGAAATAGAAAATGAGTTGCAGGGACCCATTCGTGATCATTTGGAAGTTTGATTACCTAGAAAAACACAGCACACAAGTAGTTTCAACTAAATTAAATTCAGGAGCAAATAATAACACTACTAACATATGGTTGAGCCCCCAAGGTTATTTCCCTCATACAGCAGTTTGCCTTTTCAAAGAAAAGACTTCCCAAGCCTGAAAACAAAAGCTATGTTGTTGATTATTACTTAAATAAAATGTGAGTTTAAATATGGCATAATTGGGAAATTCACTTCCTTGTCTAAATTAGGACAGTTGTTTTAGTTTTTCATCGAAGATGGACTATTCACATGGCTTCCCAAGGAATCTCTGTGGTTGTGCTGGGCAAAGAGTTCATCTATAGAGTGGAAGCAGAAGCATCCGTGGCCAGCCTCCCCCTCTAACCCCACCCAGAAGAAAGGCTGTTCAAATGGACCAAGAAAGGTCCATCCCCTCCCTTGGCTTGCCACCTCCCCTCCCCCATCAGTCTTTGAGGTACGTTCATGAATGCTGGATGCAGGACCTTGAGGTTTAGAAGATCTTGCATTCATTGATGGAGAAGAGTTTCCTTCTGTTTCGTCTCCTGGCCTGGTTGACAGCCGTTCGGACAGCACATTCAAATACCTGCTGTACTCCCCGGTTGCTAAGGGCTGAGCACTCCAGGTAGCCCTTGGCTCGCACATCTTGGGCAAGTCTCTTCCCATCTATGGCATTGATGCAAGAAGCCCTGTGGGGTCCCATCTCTCTCTGGTCCGTCTGTGTGGCCACGACCAGAACCGGGGTACAGGGTAGGTTGCTCCTGATCTCATTAATCCATTTGTTCTTCAAGTTCAGGAATGAGCTATGATTGGCCACAGAGTAGCACATCAGCACCACGTCTGCCTGCTGATAGGACAGGGGGCGGATGCTTCTGAAGGCATCATTGCCGGCAGTGTCCCAGAGGCCCAGGCTGATCTGGATGCCATCCATGAAGACGTCCACACCAGTATTCTCATACACAGTGGGCTTGTAAGCCTCCGGGAAGGTCTCCGAGGTAAAGCGCACCAGTAATGATGTTTTCCCCACAGCACTGTCCCCTACCAACACACACTTGATAGAACTCAACATCTTCCCTGTCTGAAGTCCTGCTTATGAGTTCAGGCTCCCACGGGAAAGAACCCTCAATGGGCTGCTGCAGCAGGCTCCATCTAGTAAGAAGACAGCAACCAGGGTTTATGTTCTCAGAATCTCAGGCATCAATTACAGATGTTACTTCTCCTGTTCACCCAGGTGAGAGGCAGCAGCTGCTTGGGAAAACCTCTGAAGCTTGGTTGCCAACTGGAACAGAAAGAGAATGAAGAAACTGAGATTTTTTTCCTTTCTGATGACAAAGACCCTCCTCATTGTCAAAGTAATTAAAAATGAGGGTCCTATCTCAGGGTAGCCGTTAAACCCAATCATCCAGTCCCATCCCTACCCTAGGCAAAAGAAGTTAAAGCCTGTCACCTAACACATAGCACCTACAATATCTCCTAGCCAAGAGACAGGAGTGATTTGTCCTTAAAACCCAGTCCTTGAATGACAGCTACAGTGGTGTCCATGTCTAATCCCAGATCCAAGAGGCTGAGGCAGGAGGATCCTGAGTTAGAAGCCAGCTCAAGCTGTACAAGAGATCCTATTGAGAGAGAAGTGGGGGAGAGGGGAAGAGAACAAGAGAGAAAAGAGAGGAAAGGAGAGGCCAGGAGGGGGAGGAGAGGGGAGGAGGAGAAGAGGGAAGGGGAGGGGAGAGGAGGGGAAGAAAGCAGAGGAGGGGAGGGAAGAGGAGAGGAGAGGGGAGGGGAGGGGAGAGGGGGAAGGGGAGAGGAGGGGAGGGGAGAGGAGGGGAGAGGAGAGGAGAGGAGAGGGGAGAGGAGGGGAGAGGAGGGAAGGGGAGAGGAGGGGAGGGAGAGGAGAGGAGAGTGGAGAGGAGGGGAGGAGAGGAGCAGTTTGGTAATGATAACACAAGGAACTGCTCTGGACACCACATGAAAAAAGGATTCAATTGCCCACCTGGTGTGTGAATGAGACTTGTAAACAACTCTTGATTGGCCAAGAAGCAGGAAGGCAGCCAGGTGAAGGCAGCTGGGCAGCTGGGCTTGTGTGTCCTGAGGTTCTAGTGGATTGTAGTCACTTTGGGGAACTGCAAGGAAGAGAAATTAATGAGGGATGAATACCACATATAATTTCCTTCCCTTGACGGGGAATCTTCCAGTCCTTGGTTTATGCGAGCATACTAACAATTTTCTGTGGTTTCGCGATGAGATTCTTTGGTAAGGTTGGTTAAGTGGGAGGACCCTCTGCGGGGTTCTCTGCAGCTGAAAGCAGGCTTCATTACCTACAGGGCGGGGTGTAGCTTCTAACGTGCTGTTTAAACTCTATGTCTCAGTTTACATGTTTGTAGGACCATGATGAGTTTAGAGACCTGGAAACAATTTGGGACCATCACCTGCTTAGCAGGCACTGTCCCACAGCCCCTAACTAAACAAAACAACTTGCTGGAAAACAATTACATTCACCAACAACTTTTTTTTTTTGGTTTTAGGAGACAGGGTTTCTCTGTATTGTTTTGGAGGCTGTCGGTCCAGCCCAGCCTCGAACTCACAGAGATCCGCCTGCCTCTGCCTCCGGAGTGCTGGGATTAAAGGCACTTACAAGACTTTCTCACGGAGAACTGCTCTCACGTTTGCTGTAAAGCAAAGCCCCTTCAGAACACATCATAACAAAAAACAGACATCAAACTATAACTATGTGGAGGGTTTTGAGTAGACGGCTTTGGTGGAAGTAATTTTTCAAAAGCGTTGTCCCTCTGGGCACAGGAGTTTGCAGCTGCTGCCCTAGCACTGTGAGACTAAGGCCGGAGGATTGCTGTGAGTTCCAGGTTAGCATGGGCTACAGAGTAAAACCCCACCCTGCGCCCCCTCACCCCCCCCCCCCCCCCCCGGCCAAAAGAAGAACCCACAGCAGCTCAGCAGTTAAGCAACGAACACCATATGCGATTTCCTTCACTTGTTGGGTAATCATACCATCCTTGGTTTCTGTGGGAATTCATGTTAAAGTAGAAATCGCTGGAGCAGTAACATTTTGCTCTGGTTTCTCCCTTGGAATTCTTTTTAAGATTGGTTGCTGATGGGGAGGACCCTCTGTGGAGTTCTCTACAGCTGAAAGCAAGCTCCATTACCTACAGTGCAGTGTGTAGCTTTTAATGCATTGTTTGAACAGGTCAAGGTGGGCTGTTGTTCCTGGGGCCTGCGATTATAGGTGAATCTTGTTCCTTCATTTTGCTTATGTGAATTAACAGTACATTTACTAAAATAGGCACGCTTTACTTGTGCAATTTATTTACTTGGTGTGTGTGTGTGTGTGTGTGTGTGTGTGTGTGTGTGTGTGTGTGTGTAGTGTGTAGTGTGTAGTGTTGGGATCAAGTCCTAGGGCCTTGTACTCATGAGGCAAGTGCTCACTGAGCTACACGTCCCCCAACCTGTGCAACTCTGAAGAAGTGTTTTGTTTGTGTTATACTGTGATTACAGGCCTGTGTAACATGCCTGCCTACTATAATGACTCCTTAAAGTATTTGGAGAATGTTGTTGGGACATCAAGTGACAAGTGACTGAGTCAGACACTCACAGGCTCGGAGCACACCTCCGGGTGGAAGCCGCAACTCTGATTAAGAATCCTAAAGACAAACCTTGTGATTCAAGTTCATCCTATATTAGTGACACCAGCTGCTCTCTCTCTATTCTGACCCACACCTGGAACACATTACCGAACTTTAACTTGCTAGCTGCTACCACTATATTCGCTAACTTCTCTTAGACCCCGCTGCCCTAATTCTGCAGAATTGCCTGTTTGCAAAGGGCAAAAACCATCATAATGAAAATAAGTTAAAAAGAAAGGGCTAGAAATTCAGGAGTGAAAAATGTGTAAACCACTCGAAACCAGGTCAGGAATCAAAGGGGGCTTTTCTCTGTCTGCAAAGGTGGGAGGTTTCTGTATTAGCATGTAGTGGTTTTTCCCCTAGACTCTGAGTGGCTAGCTCCTTCTCTGACTTGTCCAAATCAGTCTCCACCCGGTCTAAGACCTCTCCCACCCCTGCCACACCACATCTACGACTAAGGGAACCACTATGTGCCAAGGGCTGGCTGTGAGTCACCCGCACTGGCCAACACATGTTCAGTCCATGACAAGGAACAGCAGTTCTGCATTTGATTTGCTGGCCTCTTCAGATGACCTTATTTCTGGTCACTTCTTATTTTCTCTGGATCATCTCTAAATAGTCTTTTTTTTCTGTTTATACAATTAGTACACATACATTATGGGATATTTCAAAACCATGAGCAACTAAAGTATAAGGTAAAAACCAACGGCCACCCACAGCCAAGATCTGTGTCATAATGGTATACATATACCTACTATTTTCTCCCACACTTCACTTTTTTTCCAAAACTGATATCATGTTTTACATATTTTTGTTTAACCTTTTTTGAAACTTGAGCTCATGAAACTCAAGTTAGCCTCCAGCTCACTTTGTAGCTGGGAATAACTTTGAACTTCTGACCTTCCCCCACAGCCGAGTGCCGGAATTATGGTCAGGCATGCACACTTCTGGCTTGTGCGGTGCTGGGGATCAAACCCAGGGCTTCTGCATGCTAGGCTACCAACTGGGCCGCATCCCCAGATCCCTCAGGTTAACATTGATATTGTTAGTATTTCCTCTATCAGGATTTGCCCAACGAAATCGTCATGACTACATAACATTACAATATATACAGACATTAAAACATCATTTATTTAGCCAATTGCTTATTGTTGGATATTTTTATTCCTTCTTCTGATTTTACAATAATATGGAATGAAGATTTCCATATAAGTTTGTATCAATATATGATTATATCTTTAAGATAAACAATAACAGCAGTTACTAGGATAAAAAAGATGAAAAGTAGACTGGTGTTTTTAAGCTGTGTGTATTGAAATTTTATTTCAATTTGCTTTCATTTACAACTGGTAAAAATTAGAATTTTGGAGAGGTTGAAGTGATGGCTCAGAGGTTAAGAGCACTGGCTGCTCCTCCAGAGGTCCTGAGTTCAATTCCCAGCAACCACAAAGTGGCTCACAGCCATCTGTAGTGGGATCCGATGTCCTTGTCTGGCATAAAGGCATGCAGACAGAGCACGTTAAATTAATTAATTAAAATTTTGTTTTTGTTTTATTTTTGTTTTTCAAGACAGGGTTTCTCTGTGTAACAGTCTTGGCTGTCCTGGAACTCACTGAGATCCACCTGTCTCTGCCTGCCAAGCACTGGGATTAAAGCTGTGTACCATCACTGCTCAGCAAAATTTTGTTTTGTGTTAATTATGTCCACTTTTCTCTCTTTATTTTTTGTTGTTTTGTCTTGTTTTTGAGACAGGCTCTGGCTATGTAGCTGAAGCTAACCTGGAACTTGCCTCAGTTTACCAAATGTTGGAATTATAGGAAGACATCACTGGGCCCAAAATAGTAATCTTTTCCTGCTTATTTATTTGACTGGCTGATGTATATTTGTTTTTCTTTTCTTTTTTCTCTCAGTGCTGGGGATTGAACCCGTGCCTTCCAGATGCTGGAGAAATGCTCTGCTCCTCGCTGCTGTGTAAGCATTGTGCGGTAACACACTGTATCATTGGAGTTCTCTTCTCCACCGTCCATCCTGGTTCTTTTTAAATTTCGTAAGTCATTGGCTTTTCCCAGCCAAACAAGATGGCCATTGTTTCTTTTGGGGGAGAAGGCGGAGGAAGGATATTTTTAGAGACAGGGTTTCTTTGTGTAGCCCTGGCTGCCCTGGAACTCACTCTGTAGACCAGGCTGGCCTCAAACTCCCAGAGATCCACCCGTCTCTGCCCCCAGAGTGCTGGGATTAAAGGCATGTGCCACCACCAACCCACTGGTCACGGTTTCTTAAAGACTACAAAACCCTTTTTACAGATTGAGATATTGACTCTTTTCTCAATTAAATGTATTTTCAATGTATATTTAATATATATGGTGTGCTCATGTTTGAGGAAATTCCCCTGATCTCTGGCACCTCCTCATACTGAGCAATCCCGGGCTGTAGGGTAACAAGTCCCCCACTGTGGAAAGAAAATCAGTATGATTAAAGGACCAAAAGGTCATCAGAGTCAACCCACTCATTTCCCCCATGAAAGAAATAAGGAAGCCAAGAGCTACAGAAAGCAGTTCAGCGGCCACCGACTGACTCCACGCCCAGAATGGAACCTGCTGACTCAGCACATTTTCCATCCACAGGGTATGTTTCAAATGAATTGTGTCTTTTCTTTAATATTTAAGCGCAAAGCTCATACATCCAGCTAGCTCTTCCAAATTATTCATTCCAAATTACCTTATCCTCCCCCAATCCCTCCAGGGGAAAGTTTCTACTACATAAAGGTGACCTTTTTACTCAGAAAGTAGCTCCCAATTCTAGCATGAAATTATTCTTCAGACAGCTACTCCCTTTTGTGTTGACTTCCTTTTCAGACGTATGGACTCTCTTTTGGGTAACCATCCCCCTAAGCCCTTTAGAATAAACCCGTAAGTCATGACTTTTTAAATGACGAGGAAGGCGGTCCATTCGGTTCTGGACATTTAGCCCAGAGCACTGAGCAGAGAGTGTTGAATTTGGCTAGTGGGAACTCCTGGCATCACTGATGTGTGAAGGGCCCAGGTGTGGAGTCTGAGGGCATGGTTAGATTCTCATCGCCCTCGCTGATTAATAACAAAACCCCAGGTGAGTCACAGAACCGGCGCTGCAAGGTGTGGATGACCGCGGATAGCCTGCATAGCCTCTAACCCGAAGAGAGGATGCTGTGTCCAGCACCAAGCTGAACGTCCGACCTTCGGCAAGGGATAATCAACACCAGTGCCTGCCAGACGAGGTTTGAGGTGGAAATCGCCTGGTTTGATAGCGAGGGCACCCTGCAGTCGGCACCATTGCGTCCCTCCCCCAGCCCCAGTTTACGGAGGAGAACCACAAATAAGGCACAGAGTAATTGCTGAGGTCTGAACACCAGCAGTTAGCCCCAGAGCCCGGCATCTGTGACTCCATCCCCTCTGGCTCTCATGCTCCCTTGGGGCAGGACTGCCTACCACTGTAACCTTAACAAGCCT